TTTTTTTTTTTTTTTTTTTTTTTTTTTTTTGTGGACACAATTTTTTAGGCAGTATTCTGTTTTTTCATAGGAATTTTAACACTATATCAGAATTAATAGCTGAAAGTATTAAGAAAAAAAAAATTCCCTGGCTAGTTATTTTCAGTGTGTGAATTGTAGCACCTTGCTTATACACATGAATGCAAAGGTGATAACTGAAAACAGGAAATAATTTAGTACAGAATAAGTTGAAATTCACATTGACCTTGTTTTAGATCTCAAAACAGGGAGTTCCAAAAATTCACTCAGTTTCCCCCCACAGATGCGAAGGGCCCTGCAGTCTGCCTCACGTACAGATGAGAAAGTGCATGAAAGCTGAGCACAGGTGCGTTTTACCCTGGGGAGAACCAGCAGGAAACCAGCACATGGCTCCACATGCTGCTCCTCTGCAAGACTCGGCCTGCTTGTGCCACGCCACCTCCGCCTCGGGTACCGAAACGCCGCGGGCGTGTGGCCACAGCTGTGCCCGTGGCCAGCTCCCCCAGCGCGGTTCAAGGGATTGGAAGCTGATGTTGGCTCGGCGTTAGCTGTAGAGCTATCTGAAATCCCACAGCTTTGGAAAGGGAATGCATCATCTAGGACGGATGGCTGTAAGTATTCCCCACTTGCCCCTCCGTCCTCTCCTGCCGCGGATTGCTAACCCTTGCGGTGGTAGGAAGGAGCAGGTGGCAGCTATCTAATGCCTTGCTACGAAGCCACATGGATGCATTTCTCCTGCATGCACACACCCCAGGGTCTTCTGCCTCTAACGCAGGCCCATCTGCTGCTCTCCACCGCGCACGCTGGAGAGGATGCTGGCGCTTAAAGAAATGGGCAGTAAAACTGTGACACACATACCTGGGACCAAAAATGTCGGCTGACATAAACAATTAGAAGCTGAGGGGACTGTGACCTTTCTCAATATTTTTAGGGTCTGTCCCAGATTATGAACATGGCTTTAAACTATACTAGATATGGCAGGATTTGAAAAAATTATTTAAATGATGTTTTGATGATTTTCTTGGAGATGCATTGTATGTGAAAGCATTATGCTGTAACACTGAACTCATTGCACCCTCTCTGACGCTTCAGTTTCCTGATCAAATTTAAGTATAAACTCTGTATTTCTCTCCTCCTCTAGATGACTAAATCAAAACTGACTAATGAAATGAAGGAGAAATCTGCCAGGTATGTTGCAAGTGTGGTTCTATTAAATATAGAAAGACTGCATTTCAGCTAATATGTTACAGCGCTACTTTGCTTCAGATCAGTTTAGGCTTAAATAATTCAAGACAGAACACAAAGACCAGTATTTAAGTTAGGTCCTCTAATCTTCCAGGTCACGATCCTGCACTTGTGAAGTTGAACACTGATTTTAGCTGGCCATGGGTCTGGCCTCCAGGAAAGAAGCTCATTGTGAAGACTTCATCTCCTTATCCATCTCCATGGTGTCCAAAGAATGGATCTATGGGAAGAACCATGTGCTCTTTGCCACCAGTGAAAAGGCAAAAGACAATACGTGTGTGTGTTTGTACATGAATGTGGATGTACCAAATCCAATGCAATTTCAGCAAATAGAAATGAGATCTGTCTACTTTCTTGACTTTTTAAAATAAGACTAAGCTGAGCCAATGGCACTCCTCTAAGATGTTCTGAAGGTCACAAACTCACCCTTGGTATCATCAGTCATCTAGAAGAAAATGTGAAACAAACATTACCTACATTAACTACTAGGTTTTCCATAACAGGAAACTTCTTGAGCTGATCTGTTGGCATCTATGGTTTTGATTAATATTTTTCCATTTCTTGCATGTAGACATTTATTGCATTTGAATTTATCTTTTTCCTTTCTTCCTTCCTTTCTTTCTGTCTTCCTTCTTTTTCCATTGGAGGAATAATTGCAGTTCTTTTCAAATCTCCTAGGAAATTTCTCAGCTATGTAAAGTTATAACAAGATGTGACATCCAGTCCTAGCTAATCAGTGTTCAACACAGACCCACTACTGCAGTGCAGGGGGTGGCACTTTCAATTTGCCCGTGACACTGACCAGGTTTTTAAGGAACAGTGAGTGAAGGGAGAAAATAGCATAAAAATGCTTAAATTTTTATAGAAAAGGTATAACTTTGTAAGAAAGCGCTATCATAAATTCCAAAAAAGTATATCTTAATGATACACTTAGAGTAAATCATTTGCCTTGAGAGACAGGAGGTCTCTGGTGACCTGTATGGCAGCCACAAGAGAGTACCAGACTAGCTACTTTCAGCTAAATGTACTCTCATATTAATATTTTAAAATGCCATAATGCCTCTCTGAAAACCTCAGAGGACAGATACATCAATTTGCGAGGTCTTCACTCCAGGAAATAGAAACAGGGATAATCTGCCATTAAAAGAAATAGTTCATTATGTCTGCTTCTTGGGAGCACATAAACTATGTCCCTCACATACTTATGTTGCAAATCCTCACTTTAATGTGAAGGGAAACACCATGCCCCAGAGCTTTATTGTCCCACTGTTTATTAGTACAAAAAGGTTTGTTGTGGTACGAAATCTTAAGCTTGTTACAGTAATCAATCAGCTTCAAAGAGTCTCTTCCCTGAGCCAGAATCATTACAAATAAATCAATTAAACATAAAGTTTCTATTTTCAGGAGGAGCACAATACAGAAAACCAGCAGTGTATCATAGTTAGAGGAAGGGATTTTACTAGGTTGGGGCTTCTAATACAAGACCTCCTTTCCTTTTTTTTTTTTTTTATTGCAAAGGGTGAGAGATTTATTTTTTATTTCAGTTAAATCCAGAGTATTCCTCTTTTAAATGTCCATTTCAACATGAGAAATTTATACTCTATGAGAAAAATAAAGACTACTATTTAACACTTCTCTAGCTGTAGAAAGGAATAAGAAATGAATTTGCATTTTTTGGGCCATTAAGGATACAAAACCAGGCAGGAATGCTGCAGAAAGGAATGTGTGTGTAAAAATTTTTATTTTATTGGTTTATCTGCTGGGGGGTATAAGATATTAGGACATATAAGGATATTTTTTTTTTTCCTTGAGAATTTCTGCCTTATTGTTGTTTAAATATGTTCCTGAGATTTCCCATAGTATTAAAGAAATATCAACAATGACAACAACTATTCTATTTTATTCTGTTCTATTCTATTTTATTCTGTTTACCAGTTCAATAATACCTACACCCTCCTTTAGTGGGTAAACTGGATACTCACTATAATGTGTTGTTTAGCTGGATTTTAATTTATTTTCTGGGAACAGAATGGGTGTGTGGCTCTTTAAAAACACGTACACACTGCTTATGGTTATTTTTGTCAATTATGTGTCAAAGAAGGAGGCTTTTTGTCTTGATATGGGAGGTGATGTTCTGATGCTGAGATCTGTGATGATCTTAAGTCTCAAATTTATATGATCATATACTGAGTGCTTACTGCAAAAAAACTCTGATGTGTTCTACATGCCAGTGTTATGGGAAAAAAGATGGTTTTAAGTGAAAATCGAGCTGCTGCCTTTAAGCCTCTGCTTCTGCTGTACAGGTTTGACGCTATGTTGTAAAGGAGGCAGAGAAATACAACAGAAAAAGCATGGTCTTTGATGGAAACAGTCCCCTGGATAACTACATCCAGTTGCTATTTCTGGCACATAGCCATCCTGTGGACAGAGCAGGTGCATGGTCATATTCGGCTGCTGGGCATAGTCTTGTTTTTCCGTGTACACAACCTGAGATTTTCTACATAGAGCCTCAGGTCTGATTTATAACAATGATGAAGAATTGCAACAGAACTGAAAACAGAACAGTGATCCAAGAACCAGGCTGAAGGCTTGCTGAATCAGGTGTCTAAATAAATCAATCCATTTCTGTTTGATTTCTCTTGCAGATTAAACTCAATTTTGTCAATTTTCTCCCTGAACAAATTCAAAACAAATATTTTGTTTTGGATCAGCTCAAACAAAATTGGCATGTTTATTTACTGAACTCATGCCAAGCATTTTGTTCTGATAAACCAACCAACTGTATTTTTCATCTGAGCATAGTATTGTGGAAGTTTTAGCCTAAGCTTACAGGCTGAGGTCCTTGAAGAGTTGGATCTTTCATTGCAAAAAGCAGTTTTCTCCTGATGCAGTATCAGTTCACATCACTGCTGGTGCATCATAGGAGACAGCTTTTGACATGGCAAAATGGACAAACGGATTCAACTGCAGCATTCATTCATCACGCTTACTTTCGTTTTGAATAATAATCACCCTTACCTTCCAAAGGTACTTTTTAAGCCTACACAAACCTCAACTATTTTCTAGTGGTGTTCCTACTTTTCATTGGCTATAGGTGGAGATCAGGATGTATGGGTTGTTCAGTTAAACTGCTCAGTTAATTGCTGGTGTTACATGGAATTAATGAGTATTAGAGAAACAAATCCTGAAGTTCTTAATTTTTGACTTTTTTTCCAGTTAAGGTAGTCTCCAGCAGAGTTGCATTCTGCCTGTAACAAAATAAAAAATCAGGTTACCAATATCATCTAGATGGTCAGGCACGGATGATAACATCCATTCAAACTCAGTCTGCTGCATTTTCACCTTTTAATCCTACACACATATTTCAGAGAGATAGAGCATTTACTCTGAGTAAATGCTGAGACCATATATTCTTGTGGAGAGGGAGAAAAACTGTTTAGGTCCTGTAACTGTAATTTTAAAAATATATACTATTGCCTATATGGAAAAAAAACCAACCCTCCTGTACGGAAAGTAAAAATCATATTTCTCTTCTCCTTTTACCTGATGGAGAATTATCAGGGAAAACCTGTATATTTCTAATGATGGATCCTTGCAGAATTCAGTATCGAGAACCTTTGCAGTGTAAGCTACTGATCTTGCTCTGCTGGAAAGAAGGATTTCCTAGAGCCAGCAAATGATGCCTGAAGAGATGAATTTGTATTTCCAATGGAATCCCTCCACAGAGGATCACATTCATGCCCTGCCATCTTACATATTGGAATAAGATCTCCAGAGTGCCTGGGGAACATCCATCCTTGAAAGTTTCAAGACCAGACTGAACAAAGCCCTGAACAAGCTGGTCTGGACTCCGTATTGACCCTGCTTCAGGGAGGAGGTGGGACCAGATGTCTTCCCGAGATCTCTTCCAGCCAGAAAGTTTTGGTGATTTTACACTTCTAGCACCTGCCCCAGAGAAACCCCACAAAGACATCCAGGGTTATTCCAGGAATCCGATGTGGAGTATTTACCTGAATTTCTTCTTTTTAATGTGCTGTTTTGCTGTTGCTGGCAAGGCAGTGCAGTCTACTATGACTAAAAAGATTGCTAAGAATTAGCACAATCAATCAGTCAATTAATTAATCAGTTCTGCAATGATGAAGAGTAGAAACAAAGAAAGATGAGGCAATATTTGTGCAAAACATGTGCGCTGTGTAAAGAGCAAAAAATATTTAATCTTCTTACAGCTGCCACCATTCATCAGTTTACCTAGTCATATATCCATGATTGCAATGCTTGTAAAATGGCAGTGCTGTAAATAGCTGGCCCCAGAGGGCTTTCTAGGCTAGTGACGCCAAAGAATTAATTTGCACTGAGATATGAAATTAAGGTTTTGTTCCAAGGCAAAAGGAGAATAAAAGAACATATTGCTAAAACTGTGTGAAAGGAACCAGCATCAGCAAAACTATCTTCTCTTTTGTAAAAGAAAACCAGCTAAAACCCTTTAGTAATATCCACTGGTTCCTTGATACATAATACACTGTGCATATGGTGAAATGTCAAAGTGCTCTTCCAGACCTACAAAAGAAACAAAGGTACAGAAAACCCACTTAATATAACATTAATACTTCCAGAGGGGTGGCACTAATTCTGTCACTCTATTCAGAGAAGAGTATGAAGCATTCAGCTACATTTTCTTTTGAGTTACCAGATGGTCCTTCTAAGAGAGACAAAATATCCTCTATGAATTGATAGTGTACTTGCTCTATTGGCTTACCTCTCTGAGATAAGGTTGCATCAGAACCTCTAATTGTTATAAAACACCTGCTCTGATAACAAACAAAACAAGTTAGGGATAGAAAGAAAATAGTCTTGTGATCATGTTAGAAGGCTTGTTGAACATGCTTTATCTGAACACCTGAAAGGCTTCCACAGATGTATCACCTTTGGAATGTTGGATCTTCTGACCCCACCACTACAAAAAATCATCTCTGTGAAACCAAGAGATAACAGCATTTTATTAATGAATACAAAATACTATTCATCTTTCAGGGCTAGGTATTTTACTTATTCATAGGTACCATTTTATTTGCACCTATAGACTGTACTTCTCATTTTCTTTAAGCTAAGAAGTGTAGTATATTTACAAGCTGAGAACTCCTATTTTCAGAGGTCTGAAGTATATACCTTATTCATGTGTGTATTAAGATCTGTATTTCTAAAATAAATGCTTATTTCTTAAAGGTGATTTTGATATTGCTGATGAAGAATTGCTGGCCTT